GGGAAGGAGAACAGAGTAATGAAGCCAATTCAAGATGGGGATTATAAGGAGGCTATTTTTGGTAAGGGCCAATGGGAAATTTGTCCTCGTCACCATACTGGGGCATTAGGACCCACATATGCTACAGGGTGAGCGACCCCTGATGGCTCCGCTAACACATCTTCCAGCAGCAGCCTTAGGTTTTTAACAGGGAAGTCTTTGTCATTGATTTCCATTACACCCCACTATCTTTACTGATACAGTATGTAACAATCAGAACTCTCGTTTATGAGGATTATAAGACTACTTCACAAAAAATGTTTTGTGTATGAAATAGTTTATTCTTGGTTTCTTTACAAGTACTCTCTTGCTAAATATTTTTAACTGGAATTTGTGCTGGCAACAAAGTGGCACAGTAGGTAGCATTACTGTCTTGCAGCACTGGGATTTGGGATTCAATTCTAGACCTGGGGTGATATCTGTATGGAGTTGTTAGGTTCCCCCTGGGTTCACGAGTGTTTCCTCTAGGTGCTCTGGTTTCCTTCCACACTCCAAAAACCTACTGGTACTGTAGATTAATTCACTTTTGGGAAAGGTGTGAGTATTTGTGTGTCTGTGTTTGTGACTGACGTCCCATCCAGGATGTGCCCGTTGCTTGCCAGGATAGGCTCCGGCTCCCCGCAATCCTGATCCTGAATTGGAAGAATCGTTTTTCAAAAATGGATGGAAAACAGGTGGATGGAAGTTCTGTAGCAGGCTTTGTCAAGATGATTATTTCTACAGCCAGGTTATTTGGATGTGCTTTGAAAAAAGTATTCATAATAATAATTTAAGCATTTAAGTCTTTTTGTGCCACACATTTAGAAAAAAAATGATTGTTTGCTTAAGAGTTCCTGTTTATTTTAAACAGTGCATTCTTTGTGCGTGACAAAAATTGTTGGAATTTGCTCACTTCAAGCTCTTGCAGGACATTAAATCAGAAGTGCTATTATCCAGAGAACTAGAATAAAACTGGATTGTTTGCTTCAATCACTAGAGAAAATGTTCATAGTTTTATTTCGTGAAAATACTGAATATTAAATATTATTTATATTGTATATGTTTCATTGTTTTGGAAACTGTGTGTGCAATTGATTGACTAGCAGAAAACTTTAACACTGTTTGAAGCTCAGGTGTCCTGTTTTTGTGCAGGTGTCCGGTCCCAAGGAATGTTGCCTGATGAATCGTCCGCCCCCACACGACGCAGAACAACCAGTGAAGGACAGTATGAGAATGGCCACGACGGAAGCTCTACCCACAGTACCATGGTTCGGTCCCCCATTCGATGCGTCTCTCCCGAGGTGGTCAATACTATTGCTGCAAATCCAGGGGGCCGACCAAAGGAGGTACATATTTATAAGATGCTTTCTACGAACCAAGCAAATACATGTTTCCAGTCTTTTCACACCTGAATAGATGTTCCATCCGTGGCTCCTCATTATGGCTGTTGAGATTTAGCTGTTTTTGTGTAAATATAAGATAAATGGGTTTAGAAAGTGTTAACAGCAAAATAGTGCATTTTTAACTTTTTACTGGTATCTTACCAATTCTTAAAATGTATTCAAAGGAAGGACAGTATACAGTATATTTACCCTGTGACTCATTTTGAATATTCAAAATGACAAGCCCTTTAATAGTTACCTTTTGAAGATATGTTTTTTTATGAGACCAAGTAAAATTAGAACAAATACCTAATAAATAATAAAACAATCAACTAATAGTTCTCAGATATATACAGTACAGTGGGTGTTCTAATTATTCACGTTACCAATTAATTTAGTGAACAATATCTTTGAGTTGTCAAAAGTTCTGCATTAAATATTATAATACTGCATGGAACACATTATTATACACAAATTTTATTTTATGGAACTAACCATTTAGTTCTGAAATAGTCACATATGTAAATACAGAAACTTAGCAATGTGGATACAGAAAGTACTATGATGTAGTTCCAAGGTTCAAGCACTGGCTGCTGTCTTTGGCCCACTTATTCACATTTTTTATTGTATGCCATATAAGGATAAATAATATGTATTTGTAAAGTTGTAGAATCATGTCATTCAATGATTGCTATGAAAAGGCATACAGTACATACAAAAGATCTTGAATCTTGAGGAGTCATTGAAAAGTAGACCATCGAAGTATTTCTCTTCTAGAACAGAGCTACATTTTACATGACTTTGTTTTTGAAAGCCTCATAAATGTATGATGCTCTCTTCTTGTCCTGTGCAGCCACATATGCACAGCTACAGAGAGGCATTTGAAGAAATAGATGGCGCTCCACTAAGTCCCACATCCAGCAGTGGTGGTGAGGTCCTTCCCCTGACCCCTGCTTTTCCTGTGTCGCCACAAACCCCTTACTACAACCTGTGTAAGTTCACCATCCCTGGAGGAAGAGGGCGCTGTTTACAAACGAGTAGACTACAGATACTGTAGATAGCCTCCTAAAAACCCATCACTATGTAAATTTAGAAATTAATGGTGCCACATTTTTAATTTTTCGCAGCTGAAGGTTTTGCTTTTTGAATTCATATAATTTTTCCTAACATTCTATGGTAGAACTGTACAGATAGTGATACCATTTTCACTTATTCCGTTTTTGCTATTAGATGAGTAAACATGTTACATGTTTTAAGGTTTAATACTGTAGGTGTCAAAGTAAAATTGCAACCCGGTTGAAAAATGTTAAGATTGATAAATCAACCTGTTTACAAAGGTTGTTGGGCTACATGGTGGTGCAGTGGTTAGCATTGCTGCCTCACAGCACTGTGGCCATGGGTCCTATTCTGGATCTGGGGTACTGTCTGTGTGGAGATTATGTGTTCTTCACATGTTCGTGTGGGTATGCTCTGGGTGCTCCAGTTTGCTCCCACATTCCAGAACATACTGTAGATGGAAGGCTAATTGGCTTTTTGGAAAATTGACCCTGGTGTGAGTGTGTACATGTTTGTGTCTGTCTGTGCCCTATGATGGACAGGTGTTTCACCAAGGGTGCATTCTGCCTTGCGTGTATTGCTTTCCAGGATAGGCTCTGGCTCCCCCACATCCCTTTGTTTCACAAAATGTATAGGAATTGGATGGATACATACACAACATATGTTAACCGACAATCATGTAGATGAGAGAATTCTTTGGTTATCTTTGTTTAGGAAAATAAGATCATAACCCATTTTCAGGTGTTTTTAATTCAATCAATTACTTTTCTTGAAATTTGTAATCATAGCAAGAAATGCTACATTTAGAAGTATTAAGCAATTATTCTGAAACCCTGAAAAGAGCAACATATTTTAACAAAAGAAGAACATGATAAAATCAATGACTTAATTATGAATTATTCTCATAATAATGGTATATTAACTTGTTTAAAAAAACATTTTAAAAACAGTGTTGAAATGTACAGATGTGTATACAGATGTATACAAGCAGAAATATTAATCTAGTGACAAAAACGTTTAAGAATTTTTTTTCATAGTGCAAAAGTCACAGTATAGGTTAATGATAACAATTCCAAAAAACATATTAACTGTTAGTTAACAGAGACTTTAGGTATTACTGAAAAACAGTGGTTCACAAACACCTGAGTTTTCAATCTAACTTCAGAAAAAGTTTTGATTTTTTATTTTGTCTTATTTACAGCTGATTCTCTTGGTGGTGGGTTTTTATGCTTTGTAGATATCCTTTTCCTATTTCTATGAAGCATTAGTGTTTCAATTAGATTAACAAATTGTCTGTTAGTCAACATTAAAACCAGCACTGTAATATTTGGAATTGCTGTAAGAAAAGAAGATTACAGTACATACCAAATTCTAGGGTCAATATCTGTACAACGATACAATGTTCAATGTTTTAAAAATATATGGTTTCTTCCTTGAACAGAGTATCACTATAGAATCCCAGCACAATTAAAAAAATAAATTATGTTTATGCCAGTTAAAGTACTGAGTTGTGTATTACTTGTAATCAAATAAAAACAGAAAGCACATACAGTCTTATTGACAAGTTATCTTATTTTTCCAGTAAGGGTTTGTGTTGACTAATAGACATTCTTCAACCCACAGATGAGAAAGAATTCCATCAGTGTTTTGCTTTCATAAAAACCTTACAGTGCTCTTGTGGGCTTTGAAGAATATGCTGTTATGAAGAGATCTCTGTTTGAGGTACCCACTAGGATTTTGCTTCCTAAATCACAAAGAAAGTTATCTATTTGAAGGAGAAGCAATAAACATAGTGATAAATCTTAGAATTCCACAATAATTGCAAGTATCATCAAGATTGTACAGTTTTGTTGCATTTAAATACTGACATGCATGTACTGCATATTAATAATAATAAGAAGAAGAATTGCTTACACTTATATAGCACTTTTCTGGACACTACACTCAAAGCGCTTTACAGGTAATGGGGACTCCCCTCCACCACCTTCAATGTGCAGCATCCACCTGGATGATGTAATGGCAGCCATAGTGCGCCAGAACGCTCACCACACATAAGCTATCAGTGGGGAGGAGAAGCAGAGTAATGAAGCCAATTCATAGATGGGGATTATTAGGAGGCCAATGGGAAATTTGGCCAGGACACTGGGGTTACACCCCTACTCTTTACGAGAAATTCCCTGGGATTTTTAATGACCACGGAGAGTCAGGACCTCGGTTTTGCATCTCATCCGAAGGACAGCGCCTTATTTACAGTATAGTGTCCCCGTCACTACACTGGGGCATTAGGACCCACATGGACCGCAGGTTGAGCGCCCCCTGCTGACCCCACTAACACCTCTTCCAGCAGCAACCTTAGTTTTTCCCAGGAGGTCTCCCATCCAGGTACTGACCAGGCTCACACCTGCTTAGCTTCAGTGGGTTACCAGTTGTGAGTTGCAGGGTGATATGGCTGCATATATTGTAAATACATTTATTCGGTTTACAGAAAACCTTTAATTTAAATGTTTACTGATATTTGTTAACATATTGATACTCACCATGAGATCATTACTTAGATTAAGATGCATATTATTATAAAACATAGGTACATAACAAAGGTTAAAATATTAGCTAATCCTGTTTGACTTGGAGCAATTTCATGATCCCAGAATTTTATCAGTCCTTTCCTTAAGCAGTTTATTAGAATGTTTGTCCCTGGGCCATGCAGCTCTGAATGTCTTCTATTTCATGTCCCAAAAGCTGCTAATTTTAATGATCACTTGTAGGTCTCTGTTTCTTTGTTGGTGTATATAGGATTATATTGTAAAGATGACTTTTTCCCACTTAAGATGAATACTGATTCAGTTATTAATTACTAAGATTGGCCAATGTTAAAATTTCTTTTATTGTGGTGGTTTTCATGAAAGCAGAATGTTGACATGAACTCTTTCCTTTGTGAACATTAGAACAAATAGAATGATTTAAGACTGTATTTTATGACGGCTCCCTCCTCCTACAGTGAAATGTAGGTGTTATATGGAACCCATCTAAAACAGCCCAAATGCCATAGCAGTGTGCAGCATTTGGCTGCAAAACAAAGAATTGTTTGGGATTCTTTGGTAAGTGGAAGATGCATGAAACAGTTCCAGTGTCGTGTCTGTCCCTTCCATCCAGCACTCTTTCTCTCCCTCTATTTCATTTTGCATGCACATGGAAAGTAAGATTATGAAAGACAGAGACTGAGCTGCAAACAAATCCTTTCTTGTTTTATGCTTTTGCTTTCAGAAAGCTGTAAATTATTTTATATACTTAGATACTGCAGTTTGTCAAGCTGGCTTTCCTACTGTAGAACATATTTAATTACAAGAAAACAGCAACTGTAACAAAAGTCATCAGGTTAATCTCTGCTCATAAATGTTCTTAGATGCCATGCTGCACAATACAGTAGTATTCTTTGCTACATATTACTATGTTAGTACTAATTAACTATAGTGCTAATGTAATAGTACTGAAACCAGAATATTTTATAACTGTTGCATGGCAGTGAGGATTGTTTGTGTTATACTGTATGTGTACTGTATACACACATTAATTTCTTTATAACGTGTGTATTGTTTTGTTTTGATGTGTGAGTATACATGAGTATACATGTACAGTATATGCCACATACACATTTGAAAATACTAGCTTGATTTACCAAGTTAAAACATTCCAAAGCATTCTTACCCTTCATTCTCTGAAATTATGTATTGGAATAATTTTTATTGTTACTGCAGTATCAATTTTCTCTCAGGTGATGACAGACTCAATGAGTAAATTATTCTTGCTACAAATGCTTTTGCCAAACAAAACTATTATTAGACTCCCTTTAATGGCTAGGTTCCTTCCTCATTCCACTAAAATTCACAAAAAGAAACCAATATACAGTGCCACAGGACACTCCAAATATTAAATTAGTACAATTAGTGATATCAGCTTATTAATGAGGTTATATTTTAAACTATATCAATACCAATTACTGTATGGTTATGAAAACAGTTTGAAAATTTAGCAACATATAGCATTGAAACACACAGACTTACAGAATATGTTGAACACACATGCATCCACAGCATTTACTGGTAAAACAGTGTTTGTGCTTGATGTTGAAAATGACACTCTCTCTCTTAGGCCGTTCCCCTCCTGGCCTAGCAAAAACTCCTCTGTCAGCCCTTGGATTGAAGCCTCACAACCCAGCTGAGATCCTTCTCCAACAGTCTGGAACTGGTGAGTCCACGTTTATCTAAAATTGTTCTGAACACTCCTGAAAAATGTTTTCAAGAGATCCAAACAGTACAGGCCCTGTAAAAGTATGAAAGTGAAAGCACTGTGTATCACCTCGTTTTTTTTACTTTAGGGCACTAGGGCTTATTCATAGGTTCTACTGTTAGTTTTTACAATGGTGATAAAGGCAATTACTATTTAATTGTATCCTTTTCCCCATTCATAATATTTTCTGGAGATTTTAATAATTCTTATCTTTTCATAGAAAAGATAGGAGAAAACATTATCTCCTTATCCAGAGTCCCACCATATATGAACTCTGACCTTATTTTAAATATAAAAAAACGTTACTATACTCTAGTTGCTGTCCATTATATCTAATAAAGGTTAATCTATAGATCATTTGTACAATTTTAGCACTCTGAAATTAGTGATTTGTGAACTAGTTCTTTACAATCGAACAAGCTTCGGTAAAGGAAAGCAGTCATCTGCTAAAGAAAAATGTTGATTTGACTTGATCCATTACTCCAAAAAAGATTCAATATATTTTCCCTTTAACAGCTGTTGTAACATGTAATAAATTAATTAATTTCACAGATTATTTAGCACTACTAGACAAGGTTGCACAATATCACCGATTGCTATTTTCTGCCTTTATGGAACTTCTAGCTGTTGATATTCATAAAAGTAATACTATAAAATGGGTCGCAGCTGGAACTGCTGAGTTCAGTCATTATACTAAGCCTTTTGTTAATGGAGTTAGTTGGGCTAAGCATCCAGTTTAGAATTTATGTTACTCTGAGTGACAGAACTATATTTTAAGAATAACTGAAGTTCAAGTCAATAGATGAAAGATTTGCAGTTAAACAGCTGTGTAGCAAAAGTATTTAGCAGAATTATTTAGCCCCCTCCTATTGTGTCCCATTTAGTAAAAAAAAATATAAAATGACACATTCATACTTTTTAAAACATTTTATTCAGACTGTGAAAGCTCAAATAAAAGACTGCTACCTAAAGCATATTGTGATGCCACTAGGGGCATTGTCCTCAGGGACAGTACTTTTACTGGGGCATCATTCAGTTTGTGGATATATGTATTTGCCAGCACTTAAAGGACCACAAGAGAACGCCGGCACCTAAAATGTTGGCAACAGGTAATTGCTGGAACAGTGAACAGCTATGCACCCTGCCATTAGAGAAATGCCATGATCCTGAGTGATGATTCTATAGATGGGCCCATAGTTTAGATAGAAGTAGTTCAAGTAGATAGCTGCGTCAGCATGCATAGGCTCCAAAGGAAGTAAAGGTTTATTCCATGCTGAAAGGAGAAGAAAGGAAAGACAATATTTCGGCTGTGGAGCCTTCTTCGGGTGTGAGATGTATCTCAAACATGTCTGTTGTAATAAATAATGAGATACTGCATTGTTTCAGTTTCCTAAAAGCATTGGGTTTACTTTTTAACATGTTTTATTCTATGGTTAATACTCTGAAGTCTTAAAGTATTACGCCAAAAGTTAGTCCTTTAACTAAAAACAACCTCTGCTGTTTAAAATGTTTGATTTGGCTAAAATGGTGTGAACTCAAGCTCTGATGGTTCACAGAATGGCAATTCCCTGAACTGATTTATACAGAACATGCTAATAGTTTGTAGAAACATACTGTGATAAAATATGAATGAAGGCTACATAACAGAGTTGGCACAGCATGCAATCAAGTCGCAAACCAGGTTAAGTGATAAATCAGTCAGACACCTCTTAGATGCTCTGTGTACAGTATATAATTGGTGTTGGTGGGGTAATTTACATCTTTGACTAAGCGATCTGCTGCCATTTAGAAAAACCAAGAGAGCCACACTTCGATCTTTGGAGTTATTGAATGCTTTTGTTGGATTAGACAGACTCATTTGAGAATGTAATATTTTCCCCTTGCTACATAGAAGAGACAAGGGTTGCTTACATACGAAGAGAAAAATTATTATATATGAAGTTGATGTTTTTTAATAAGAGTTGTTTCTTACTACATGTACTTCAAGTGGGTTTACATGTGCAGCTGAAGGATGTTAAGTACAAAACATTATTTTTTGTGCTTGGTTCAATTTAATCTTTTAAAAAGAATCAGAGAGTGGTATGTTCTACACCATGGTGAAACATTACACCATTGACATAACCTCCAACCTCTTGGAAGCTAATAGATTTAACACTTCTGAATTCCTTGTTTAATACTATATATAATTCATTACTAAGAAGGGGTTACATGGCTAATTGAGAAGCAAATTTGCTTACTAAGCAAACTTTTTCTTTCTTTTCATATTTTCACTCCTTTCCAGCTCTTGAATTTTCTGTCCCTCCATTTCCACTATCTTCTCTTTTGCTCTTACCTGATTCTTTCACACTATTTCTCTGATGGTCCTTTCTTCTTCCAATCTCTCACTGTAAAACATCCGTTCTTTGACTTTCCTTTCCTTGTCTTTTTCTGCTGTCAGATGCAGACAGTAGTCCTTTAAATGAAAATGAGGAAGGTAAGAATGGCTGTATGAGAGTACTCCACATCACTTTGTTATCCTTCCACCTTCACACCAGTAACACATCACAGGGCTCTCCATTATTTGAAGGGTGCTGCAAGCAAGATACTCCACAACAAGATCACACCGTAATAATGTGTCCTGCATAATAACCATCTCAGTTTTTTGTGATTTTTTCCACATTTTACATTCTTATTGCCTATTCATATTCCATCCAACCATTTTCTAACCACTTTATCCAATACTGGTTAGTGGGGGAGACGGAGCCTATCATGGCTATCTACCTCTTTTCAGTAGATTTCTTTATTGGATTAATAATATAAATATCAATTTCCTAAATTACAATATCTGAAGGTACTATCTTACAAGTCTATAGTTTACATGTTTATATGTAAATATAGATTCTATATCAAAGTTTTGCATTGTGTTATTTTTAAATTGAGGTACAGTAAACATTTAATATTATTTAAGGAACTGTATATCATTCAACCAGCCATAAATCTAATTATAATAACATTCTGTGTTCCTTCCTGTTTCAAACATTGTTTTCCCATTCTTAATAGTAGTGATGACATTGTACTTGATTTATAGATTTCCTTCTGTTTCATTTCCTTTTTTAAGGGAGAAACATTGTCATTTCCACTGCTTTCTTTCAGGGTGATATTTATATGTCTCATTTTTAAAGGTACAGAACCAACAATCAGATTGAATCTAGTTTCCTTCTACTTGTCAAAAATATTCATCCATTACAATCCTTAAACTGCAGTCTGTGCACTTGTTCTTGTATTTCTACAATGTATTGCAATATATTAAAATGGCATTCTTTTTTTCATTCAGAATGCTAACAGCATTCTTGAATTTCAGCTTAATGAGGTAACAATCTAAAGCAAACATTTGTTTCTAGTCACTGTACACTTAACTTTAGTCTTCATAACGTTTATTTGAATCTTATATGGAACAAAAGTAATTTCAGCATCAGAGATGAAATTCAAATAACTGTAGAAAATTGGAGAGAACAAAATGTTATGGGAAAATCAAAGCCTGCACGAGCTGGAGTGAAAGTAAAGCAGTATTTAATCTACCTCGATTACCAATTTTAATCTGTCCCCATACAACCATACCCATACCCATTTTAATGTTTTGAAAAAAAATATGCAAACAAAAGGTATGTAAAATATGTAATTTTAAATAAAAATAATTAGATATACTGCATTTGTAGAGGTGTAATACAAATATGACATTTGGTTAATCATTATAGCATTACCAGTTAAAACAAGTGCATTGAGTTCCTTTGCATTCCCTATTAAGAAGAAGCAGTATATTGTCATTCTGTTCTTATTCATTGTACCTACTGGTAATATACCTGAGGCAGAGAGAAAAAAAAGCATGAGAACAAAGCAAGCAAGTTCAGAGCAGTAAAAAAACACTAATGATTTTACTACTGAGCAGTGAAAGATGAATGCAGGAAATAACCACAAGAGAAGACATTACCTTTCATTTCAGCACAGAAGACAGGCTTTTATTGAATCAATGCAAGAAACTATTTTTTTGTCTGCATGTAATATTCAGTTTAACCTCTTTTTAATGTTCAGTAGCTAAATTGAGTGAAATAATTTGCTTCCCTTCACAAATGGTCCTTGAAAACTGAACGAAAAAATCAAAATGACTAGGTTCTGTCATTTTAAATACCAGTAAAGTTTAGATTTGATCAAGTTTGATTGTGAATCTTACCCATATTGTTCTTGTAGAGTCCATTTCAGTTAGAAACTGTATATAATGTAAGTAGGTGTTTGGATAATGTCTAAAAAATGACTTTTTTTACTGAATTACTTTTTTAAATGTAATTAGTGGACCACAGAAAGGATCAAGACTTGAACAGAAAATCAGTAAATATAGTTTCTCTTTAAAATCACTACAGTGTTAATGATAAAGAATAATCAATTTAAATCAGTACAGTACATGATAATAAAATCTGTTTTCTTGGTGCCATCTTTGTTTACAGAGCCTCGGAGTTATGTTGAGTCAGTTGCTCGGACAGCTGCAGCTGGGGGAGGAGGCCAGCCAGGCTCCCCTGTACCACCCACTTATGACATGGATAGCCGAGGGAGACACACAGCCCCCTCTCATGCCTTCAGCTCGCCCCTATCAACCAGCAGTCCCATTCAAAGTGCTGAAGGGTGAGCAATAACCATATCTCATAAGAAACTCCCTTAACAGAAAGTAATTGCATATTAAGAACCTGGATTTCATCTGTGGTTTTAAAGGAATTGTGAATGAATAGTTGTATGAATGAATTATTTGAAAGAAGTACCTGTAGGACCACGTTTATTTTACAATAAACTGCAACACGAATAGCACAAAAGCTTCAGTCACTTACATTTAAATTAATCTTTACTGTGCTCTTAAGGAAATAAGTCTAAGTCTGAAAACCCTTCTGTTTTCCCAAGATAAATGAAGAGGAAATGCATGTCAAGAAGTGACTGTTTTATTTCCCTCAGAAAGGCTCTTACTGAGAGTGTGGTTTTCCTGCCTTACTTTTTTTGGCTGTTCTGCAGCTTTATGGAATACACGCAGGTTTATTCTGTATTTCAAAAATATCACAGGCTTAATTAAAGATAATCACAAAACAAATCATAAATTATAATGTGTATGAAATCTGTTCATTTTTAAAACTCAGGAGGTCCCTTCCTCCTGTTATTTATTCGAATTTGCATCTAGTTAGCTGAATAGACATCAAGAGAATATCATCTCCCCTTTTGATGAGCACATGAGTATCATCTTCATGTAATGTAACTATCTAATGAAAAGAAAAAAAGTTGATTTGGAGAATCTTTGTGCAGTATAAACAATGTTCAAATTGACATTTTAAATTTCTAATGACCAGCTTATCTTCTCTCCTTCTGTATCAGAAGCTATCCTTCTGCTGACAGCAGTATCCGAATGGGTACACCCCCCCATGTGGCTGACTCGGGTTTCCGCTCCCAACCTTCAGAAAGCACATACCGTGTCCCCACCCCTTCTTTCCCTGGCTCTGGCAGCATGACAGGCAGCTATGTGGGTCCTGATTACAGTCCATACCAACCTGAAGGTGCTCAGGTCAGTGTTGTGGGTGTCCACACAGTGCCCGGAAGCCCTCACACCCTCCACCGCACAGTGGCTACCAACACACCTCCAAGTCCAGCGCTGGCACGACGGATGGTCAACCAAGGAAGTCCTGCCATGGGGCGCCACATAGTGGCAGCAAATGGAAGTGAGCCAGGGACTCCCAGCAGCCCTGTACTGGGCAGGCATCCAGCAGTTAGCCAAGTGACCCCCGGAAGTCCAAGTCTGGAGAGACATGTGATGTATGGATATTCCAGTCCCGATGAGAGACATGGCACACTGTCAAGACAGAGCAGCTCCTCTGGTTACCACCCACCATCGACACCCTCCTTCCCTGTCTCACCTGCTGGCTTCGCAGAAAGCCCAGGGCTCCGGCAAGGCAGCCCCGCCCCACAGCCTGTACTCCCAGAGAAGAGGCGAATGTCCAGTGGCGAGCGCCCCAATGGTGTTCTGTCTTATGGCACACTGAATGGAAAGATGTCCTCGCCTGTGTCAAGTGGTGGCAGCACCCCAAGTGCATCCTTCTCTCACACCTTGCCAGACTTCTCTAAGCTCACCATGTGCGGTAAGCATATAGTGTTTGGCTTTTGTGTTTTGAAGTATTTATAAATAAGCATGCAATAGGGTACATCATCATAATAATAATAATGGAAATATCTTTCTGGGGCGTTTTCAGTTCTTTGAAAATATTTACTATAAATGTATCTTAATTACCGTGGTAAAATAAAAAAGAAGGTTAGGGTATTTTCACTGAGATTTTCTAGAATTAAAAAAAAATATTAAAAAATTAGATTGAATAAGTTTAAAATTATCTAACATAAACACAGAGACAGTTTATTGACTGCAGATATCACATACTGTATGTTCTAAAGTCACAATGCCACATATTGTGTATCTCAAATTAACCCCCCGTTCTTTTTTTGTAATTGGTCTTGCTGACAACTCTGTACAGATGCAAGTCCAGAGACAAGGGCCAATGTGAAGTTTGTGCAGGATACTTCAAAGTTCTGGTATAAACCAGACATTTCTCGGGAGCAAGGTAAGGGAGAGTATGCAGGTTGGACTGTGCTAACAAAATTAGTTTGATCTAAATTAATTTGATATTGGTGCTGTTTATAGTTCAGTACGCTTTAGCTATACTACAGTACATATATTAAAATCTTATTGACTCTACTATTAATTTTAACCATTCTTCATAAGAAATCTCCATTTAGCTTAGCACACTTACAGAAGTATAGTTGCAAGCAGTAGCAATGTAATGACATACTGTACATGTGCATCTTAATTTACTCCGTATGCATCTAGTTATATGGGAAATAACAAAATACTAAACATATTCTGAGGGCACATTTTTTTAATTCTGACTTTGACTTTTATTTGTGCTAAATATTATTAAATGAAATGCAACCCATTATGCACAATCTCTCATTTTCCTTCTCTCTTTCTGATTACAAACACCAAAATAAGGAGATTATGTGGTAACTGTATCTGAAAGGAGATCATAAAACACTGGATTTCCCCTTCCCTTCTTCTTTCAGCAATCGGTTTGCTGAAGGACAGAGAGCCGGGGGCCTTTGTTATACGAGACAGCCACTCATTCAGGGGAGCCTACGGCCTTGCCATGAAGGTAGCCTCTCCTCCTCCCACAGTGGTACAGCAAAATAAAAAAGGTATGGTATCCCAGCCAAAGCACTGTCTATTGCTCAGTCATTATGAACTAATGGGCTCCCTGCTAAATGGGTCTCCCTCTCAGACAATGCAACAATACGTAAGCATTATCCCTATTACAAATCTACATCACTATCAGCTCTTTAAAATAAGATGTACTGTATTTACAATGCTAGACATTAGTCTTAAGCCTGTGTGACCGTCGCGATTCCGCGCAATCTCTTGACCTCCGCCGCTCCACCCCGCCGATTCGGCCCGTAACACCTGGGGCGCGAACCCACAGGGAGCCAGCCACATGAGCTAGAGGAGACCTCCCTCAGCCTAGGCAGATGAGACTAGCTCTGCTACACCTTGTCAAAGGCATTTTCAACCCCATTGCCTGAATCTTTGTATATAGCCATTAAATTACTGTAATCTGTTGTTTCTAAACTTAGGTAACTATATTCATTGTCAATAGTATTTTGTTTTATAATCAATCATACTTAAATTAACATTCTACTTTTGAACACAGACAAGTGCCCAAAAGCATTCTGAGTTTTCTGCATACACGCCTGAGAAAACAGACTTATATTCTTGCTCCTCTTGTTGCAGGTGACATTACCAATGAGCTTGTGCGACACTTTTTGATAGAAACAAGTCCCAAAGGGGTAAAACTGAAGGGGTGTCCTAATGAACCTTACTTTGGTAAGTACTTAACAGATTGGTAATATAACCAAATTGACTTGGAAATTCTTTATCCTTTAAAAACCCCTGCACCTTTTGGATTGAGGTTTGTACTGTATAGCAGCTGAATTTTCTATTGCCAAGCCTTGTAGTTGTAAATGCACAGATTTTTGAACAATGTGGAGGATGAAGTCAGTAGATTGGTGAGTCTATGTACGATGCCACTATGTTGTATTTAGTGCCATCTTCTGGAGCTGAGAGTATGACAAAAAATAAGACAAAAAAGGAGCTTAGTTGTTATATTAGTTACTGTTAATTAAACTACGCAAATGTGTAACAATAAATGGGTAACAAAGTGAAAGGATACAAACAATTTGTATGTAGAACAATGACAAGCAGGTAGCATTCCTGGTATGAGAAGTAATGTTAAAACTATACAACCCATGATTTAGACCTCTTTTAATATAATTGTAAACTTTTGCTTGTCAGGTTACACAGAGAATGATATACTGTAACCATAATCCTATAATAAAAAGATGAATTCATGATCTTTTTAATTCTGAAACAAGGAGACTAACAGTGACTTTTAAAACATACTGACAAAGCAATCTTGAAGGACTTTGTCAAGATTAACAGTAAAATACAGCCCACAGAACACAAGCAGATATTCAGGAGAAATGTAATTAAAACTGAGAACAGTAGATACATCTTTATACAGAGGACATCTGTGGGAGTCTGGAACAAACTACTCAGTAACATTGTTGAATCTTATACCTTGATACAATTGAAGAAATTGAAGAAATTCCTGGATTAATCACATTCTAACAACCAAATACACTAGACAGACCATATGGCCTTTTCTTGAAGCCCTTCTTATGTTCTTCGGCAGTATCAATGTGTAATGTTTTATTTTTATATTGTAGTGTATAGTTGTCGACTTTTAAGAAAAAAACTTCTTCTAAGAAAAACAGAAGAAGTTTAAATAGTAAACATTTTTTGTCGCGTAAAAAGTCGTCTATCGTTAAATGTGGTTAACACTAACAAATATGTGTCTTCTGTAATCAGCATGCTTGTATATTTGTTTAAAAGGCAAAAGAGTAAAGTCTTGGAATCTTGTTTAAGTCACGTTTATGGCCTTGATGTTCATGTCGGGATGTTATTTTTATTATACATGTTATATTTAGCTACACAGACAAGAATTTCTTATCACTACTTCCATGTGAAAGGTACAGTACAGCTACAGTATGGGTTGGGTTTGTCATTACTTTGAAAACATCCTGTTTGGGTAAATGTTATGTAAGCGTCTGTTTATTATTGTGAGAAATTCTGAATGATTGAGAAGCAGAAAAGGAATGGGAGTGTCAAAATAATTTTAATGTTTCAATTATTGTCCTATCTAAAGATTTGTCCATAAACTGTTGAGTGTTATGGCCCTATAGAAGCTTAGTCTTCTTCAACAGTCTGCTTACATACTTATGACTCAGTTGCAACTTAGAATGGCAAATAGCCTAAGTCAGAAGTACATAAGTACATTAGAAACAACTAAACACACCTTGACTAAAAACAAAAAGTGTCCTGATGTATTCAGAAATAATTCGAAATGTTATTCTCCTTATTTCTGTAACTTACTGGTACTTCATTAAAGTGATGAAGCCATGAAACCAGAGAGAGAAGACAATTTTTTATAACATTAGATGTAAATGATAGTATGTATTTAAACAAGTCTGAGGCTTGTGTTTACTTGTTTAATATTAAGTTTTTCAGAGATTAGTTTACACAATTAACAATACTTATGAGATCCATAAGGTATTAATGATAATGTATTTTAAAACCTTTCATCTAACATTCCCCTCCTCTTTAAGAAAGCCTTTCTGTTTAATTCCAATCCATGGTCAGATCTAAGCAACAGAAAGAGATTAATTTTTCTTAGCTTGGGAAAGAATGTCTTTTCTAGTGGAAACCATTTCCCTTTCAGCTGTTTACATTAAACTCTCTTACCAATATATAGTTGAATAAATTCTTTGTGCTCAAATATAGTTTTAAGGACTGGCAATCAGGGACCTGTAACATGAAAGGATTAAGTATGAGCCAAAACCCTAAAACGTCTGTTTTACATTTATACTGGGTTAGCCAAGTAGCACAATGTGACTAACAGAGGATTAAGACTGCTCACATATGGTACAGTAGCAAGGGCAGCCTGCAGCATAACTTTCAAGAAGCATTTTTATAGATGCCTTACCTGTTCCAGCACCTGGATAAATAATTTTAAAATTCTGTACTTCTACTTTTTAAATCTTATTTTCTGTTAATGTACAATATTTAAGCATCCTCCATGAAAGAATAGCTCAGCTAAATAGAAAATAGAGCATCAGGCCAATTCTATTTTTGAAATGCAAAAGTAAATTTCTTGAGTTTATGATCAATGGCCAGGCATTCACAAAGTCATAAATACAAGGACAACACCAAAACCTGCCTTCTTTTACCTAGTTTTGCTTTCACAGCAAATAACCCAAAAAATATTAATATGAATAACTCCAAATTAGAAAATCAAAACACAGATGCAGCCATTTAGAATGCTTGTCAAATCTCATGTCAATACACTGTGGTATACCACTTTCAGCCCTTCACTGTTCAAAACAGATCGATAGGTGGCACTTGTGTTAGGTTAGATGTTACTGAAATGGTAGTTCATTTAATGTTTTTTCTTAGTCTAATAATCATATTTCTTGATGTTATGTAAACATAAAATACATAGCCTAGCTAGCATTTTAAGATGTAGCGTGGCTGTACAGTATTTTATTTTGTAAAAAGGGAATCCCATGCCAAAAGTGAAGCCTGGACCTGACTTCGATTTTGTAATGCTCCTGGTTTCAGAAAAGAATAAATTTCATGTATTGACTACAAACTAATCAAAACAACTGAAATTGTAAATATTGAGATTTGCTGTTATATTGTTGTTACTGTAGTATGCATTGCTCTAAATATTTTAATATTTTAATTATTGCTTGCAAAACGGTGATGTAAGTAATCGCATCTAGAAGAAGGCAGTCTGCTAGGACAACACTAATACTTTAGTTGATGTACAGTATAGTATGGATATCTGTGGATATTACTTAACGGAATTCTTTAACGTGTTTGTCACATCGGGAAATATATATATTTGATGTATTCAGCTCACACTCCAAACTAAAAATTAAATCATAGTACATGGTTTGCTTACTATAATAAGGCAGGACCTAAAGGACTTCAGAAGTAGTAACCTTCTCTAGGGTCCTTCTTTTTTAGCATTTGGTATTTTGCTTTGTTGCAGATGGATGTGTTTCACATTTGACACTATTTGCATGCTTTCATCCAGGACTGGATTTGCTTTCTTGCCTCAACCCTCCTTTGAAAACAAGCACCATGCAGTCTGCATTTTTGCCACCAGGTGTCCTCATGTTGACAAGTAGTCCAAGAATCTCTGAACAACTATGGCAGTTTTGTATCCCTGCCCTTTCGTCTCTCTCTTCCTAGTTTCATCCACTCTGATCTTCTCCACCGCTCCCCATCTCCATTTCTGTCCAAGCGTCCAACCCTCTGCACCTACTGTCCCAGCCGACATGTGTTGTTTCATCATAACGCCATTCCCATCGGTTGTTAACAGTGCCTTAGACAGTAGTTCAAAACTGTTGTTTTACCAATACATACTGTACTACAGGATAAAAGGGTATTATTATTTGTTTTCCCAGGGTGTCTGTCTGCACTGGTGTATCAGCACTCAATTACTCCCCTGGCTCTTCCCTGCAAACTTGTTATCCCAGCTAGAGGTATTTTTTTTTGCTTTATGTCACTCTATAAAAAAATGACATTTTGAAGCTCCTGGTTCCTGTTTATGAGCATCATTTAAACTCTGATGTTTAGGCATCTGGCTGTCCAGCTTTTCAGTTATGTTTGTGTTATAGATTGTCTCTTCTCATGTTTCATACAATGTCTTATTGTTTCATGAGATTTTTGACATTGGCGTTTTTGACTGCTAACGTTTCTTTGCCTTTTATAAAGTTTCTTTCACCATTAGATTTACACAATACTTTGTACAGTACAAAATGTGCACCATGTTATAGTCCATGAGGTCTTTTATTAGAATTAGCAAAAAAAAAATACTTATTATTGCGAACTCCATGGTGATAAAGGTTTGTGTGACATGTTCCAGTGCAAATTAAAGGAATAGACTAGGATATTTTTTAATCCTTTGTCTAATCAGGTATAGGAATTGAGAACAAACTCTCATTTACAATGATGACCTGGAGTCCCATTTATGCAGAAAGTTATTTAATGGAGCAATCTAAGTACAACAGTACATACAGGATTAAAAACTGTAAACCTGCTCTCTGCAGCACAGAGCCTAAGCTTATTCTCCATAATTTTTGGAAAAAACAATAAGATTGTTCATGTTTAATGAATAAACATTTCACTAAAAATCTATTATTTTCTACAAAGATCCCTCAAATTGTTACTAAACAACATATTTTTATTCAACACAACATACAGATTAAGTATCCCTTTAATTATTAGGAAATGCCCAATTAGAGACACTTCAATCATTCTGATTTGTGCACATACTGAATTTCTAGATTCATGTTACCCACAAAGATCCTATGGTATGTAACTTGCATAGTCCCTGCCTGATTATGTTAGCTGAATATTGCATCTCACTGAAACAATGAATCTATGTTAAATCACTCTCCTGAATTTGAAAAGCATAATTTACTGGTGATTGAATTGAATTGTGCAAGGGTCAAAGGAGTCAGTTGAGATCTTGTGATTTTGTAATTAATTTCAAAATGTCCTCAATTTTGTGCCAGTGATTCAATTTCCTCCCAGCTTCCAAAGACACACTGCCTCAAGATTGATTAGCTTACTAATAATCTACCTCTAATTTGTGACCTTTTACAGTATATGCATTATAATTAGAATAACTGGTATAGTATAATATATCAGGTGTTTCTTTATGTTTGTTTTTTTTCCTCTAGATCCTCATGATGAAACCCCAGAGGTAGCAACACCTACAAATTCAGCCTCAGATCTTCTGAAACAGGGTGCAGGTAGAGACGAATCAGAAAATTTTGGTGTTCGTCCACATACTGTACTTGACTTCACAGTGTTGTTGATCTTTATTTTGGGGGTCAGAATCTAAACAGAAATCAAATGCAAACTCCCCCATTACAATACAAAAATACTGCCTAGATCTTTAATGATACAATTTTAAATGTCTTTATTTTTTCATAACAATTGTGAACACTTAAATAAAATAAATAAACAAAGTTTAAAAATAGTAAGATTTTAAATCAATTTACACATCTTTAGCATGGAGAAAAAGAACAATGAAGATATAGGTTAATTGGCTTCTGGGCAATTGGTGTGTGTGTGTGCATGTCTGAGTGTGCCCTGCGATGCACTGGCGTCCTGTCCAGGTTGTATCCTGCCTTGCTCCCGTTGCTTCCTGGTATAGGCTCTGGCTCCCCAGCGACTCTTCATTGGATAAAGCGGTCAGGAAATGGAATGACGAAGTACTTCAAAAACCATTTCATTTAATTTTCTTAGATATAGAAGCATAATTTGTTCTATTGGACAAACCTCTAGTTTAAGCAGATCGTTTGCTCTTTCCTTTGAGGATTGTTATCTCTTACCTATTATCATTTTCTTTTAAAATTAGAATATATTTTGTTTGCATTTTAAGAAATCTAGATACGTATCATTTAGATGGCATATTATACCCCAAAATAGAATGAAGGGTTTTAAAGAAGAGCTTTTAAACAAAGCTCAAGTCACAAAATGCAAGCATATTATCCATTTTTAATATGAATTATTCTATGATTTTTATGGACATGCTATCATTCACAATTAAAGTTACGACATTATAGTTGTTAAAATAACGTAGATAAGTAGAAAGATTCACAGACCAAATTATCACAATGTATTTTTTTTGGGTTACTTTATTTCTAACAACTTAATTGAACTGATAAAGAAAATCCAGAAAAAATGAAAACCTATTGTCACACTGGATTTCATAAAAACAATATTACATGTTTTTCATTTCTTTTGTTTCCTTTTACATAAAACTGTCTTTAAAGGATTTATTTTATTATGTTTTAAATTTTCCAGGAATTAACAGCTCAAATATTTTTCATTGTTTATGTTGGCAATGTTTTTCAGCTACAATTGTATGGTTTGTGGCAGTTGTGATAATAACAATACATTTGACTAATTCATGTTGTTCATTCAACAACGCCTACAAAAATAAAAGTAAACATTACCAATTAATTTTTTTTAAATATTATTTTACATTGCCATTGTTTAGTTATATGATACCATTAATGAGTCTATTTTTCCCACTCTTTTGTTACTGTCATATTAATATAGGGCAGAAGGTCCCTCCAGAAGCCCATGGTAATTAATATTTTATCTGTGAATCTTTGTCCCTGTCTACGTTCTTGATAATATCGATTTGGACAAGAAAATAAATGCATCATTTTTATTCTATGCTGTGCAGTATTTGCATGAGCAAGTGTTTTTTATAATATATGGAATTCTGTCTTTCTATCCTGTTTTAAGACATGCCTAGAAAGCTTGCCTTTAATACTTTTCAATACAGTAAAAATACTTAATTTTCATAAAGGACTTACCTTTTCTACACAGTAGCATGGAAACTATACCGTTTGCATGTCTGTGCAGCTGCATCTCTATAGGCTGAATTCCTGAACCTTGAAAATAAAATGTAACATAAACTAATATTTGCTTTTCCTGATTTTTACATATCTACAACTGTTTTTTTATATTGTTTTAATTAAAAATTATTTTTAGTATTTTGCTTGGTGTGAGAACAAAAATGATTGTGCATCTAGTATGATATACTCAATAATAACCTCATTAATAGCATATCACTTATCTTTTAGTTTTATATGTAAGGTAGTGGGACGTTTGACTGTTTTTCACTGGATGGACAGTTACCATTGGGCTTCCATAGCTGGCTTCTTAAAGCCCCCTGTGTAGTGTTGGGCCTAGTCTGGAATAACTAGGCAAGAGAAACACATTAGAAAAATGAAAATAGGGAGAAGGGGTTTCTAGACGAGGAGAGTGAGATACGTCTATGATATGTCCTTCGGAAATGGGCAAAGATGACATGGACATAAGCTGGGTATTCCTCCAGTCTATACTAATAAAGACTGAAAATTGATAGTCTGTCGAACTTTAATGTGGTTTGATAGATAGACTGTAATTAGACCAAAGTGTTACACCTGGAACGTTAAACTATATTTCAGAATAATCAATAATCCTTTATGATGAGCATAAAGATGTTTTAAATTTTTAAGACATTTTATTTGTCAGTTTAGAAAAACGTTTATTTATTCCATAAAGCATATATACAGTATATGAGGAGTTATTTAAAGTCTTCAGCACCAACTGCATTGTTGTTTCAAAAGGGACAAGTGTTGTACACAGTATAACATTGTCTCCATAGTGCCTTGAGAAAAGATTAAAGCATTTTCCTATTCACCTACTGTAGGTTTTATAAGTACTGACTTAACATTTCATCTCAAGAGTGCAACATATTTATTTACTTGCTTTAATATGGAAAAAAATGTTTTCATTATTTTCACAGCTTGCAATGTCCTTTATATCAACTCAGTGGACATGGAATCCCTCACTGGCCCTCAAGCAATTGCTAAAGCAATTTCAGAAACTCTTGCAGCTAACCCACCGTACAACGCCACCATTGTACATTTTAAAGTATCTGCACAAGGCATCACCCTCACAGACAACCAGAGAAAGTAAGTGAACTTACTTTCTTGCTAACAATAATATAGTAAGCAGTAGTATTCAGGGTATTGAATACTAATGTTATTCAATATTAATTAAGACAAAACAGTATATAGATAACAAAACAGTTTTTAAAATATATAATGAGCAACAGCTGTCATATTTTAATATTTTGTTTAAATTATTTGAATTATTAGTTCCTATAGTTATGTAGATACAGTTTATAAACATCAATCATTAAAAGAAGTTACTTTATCTTAAAAGCTGCTGTGGAGGTTTTGATAAAACAAAATATTGTTTATTTAGCATAACTAGATCCATACTCAATACACTACCTTTACCCATGACTTCAAACAAAATAATGTAACTAATTTGGATTTTTTTCTTGCTTGAAGGCTTTTCTTCCGGCGACACTATCCAATCAACACTGTCACATTTTGTGATTTGGATCCACAGGAAAGAAAGTAAGTATCGTTAGCCAAATGTAAAAATGAATTTTCTTAGAAGTTAATTTTTTAATCTTTGGAGGTGTGAGAATTAAAAAAATAACAAAAGGTAATTCTTGCAGAGTAAGCTATTTTGTTAGTTAATTAGCTCATATTTATAATATCAGTTTATTTTGAATGAGTGAAATATTGCCATACTTACAGTATCACAGCATTTGTGTTCTTATTAGAACTGGGGTAGACACAACAGAAATGTGTTGAAGACATTCTGAACACATTGCAATTTCACTAACACACTAACAGAGTCAAAGTACTTCTTACCTTTTATAAATGAAGACTAACTGCAACTATTTTACAGGTGGAGTAAAGCAGATGGAGGCAGTGCAAAGTAAGCTATTATGTTATTATTGTTTAAAACACAATTATTGGATTATTTTGTCTCTTTTGAATAATTCAGGCACACTTGGTTAAAAAAATATTTATTAACAGTGACACACACTACATTACACACAACATATATGTATAACACACGCGTTTCCTTATGCACAGTACAAGTTTCCAGAAAAGAGGACCCAGAGGCCTAAAGTCCTAACCAAACAGAAAAATCCCAGACTCTTACAAAGTATTAAACTCTTAACACCCACAAAGGCAAGAATAAGAGATAAGCTGCCTTCTAAACTTAGAATACAACCTGCAGTTAAATCTCTCTGCAAACCCCAAAATAAGGGAGAACCGTATTATAAAACAGCTATACTGAAAAGACAAGTCTTTAAACATGTTTCAAAATATTACTTACTGTGCCTTTAAATATTACATACCTAAAATAAATGTTACTATAAACATGTGATAAAATAATCTTTATCTTAATGCTAAAAACATTTATGTGAACAAAACATCCACTCATGAGCTGCAGAAAAATAGACATACTGAAACCTGTCTGGTACCTTATTTGATACCCAAGTCAGTACAGTTGTCTAATCTTGTCAAATAAGGGCTTATATTCATTTGAATCAGAGGATAAGAGCTCTTCCATTCACATGAACATGAATGAATATGAACAGATCTCAGAACAGCAATACATTTTTATTTATTTTTGACTTATTTGATCAATTTAAATCATACTTAGTGCAAAAAACTTGTATTGTCTTATATTATTTTTGTTACTGACATGACAATGTCTCAAGATTTTTCCTTCAAAGAGCAATTTACTATTATACTGGTGAGGAACAGATATCTCAAATCTGTAGCTTTACAAAGTTTTTCAAAGCCAAAAGTTTTTTTTTACTTATTATTGCAAATTCTTCTTTTTGGGTATGTTTTGAAAGCTTTTATTTTCATAGAAGTGAAATCAAATACTGATCCCGACAGAGTATAAAAAAACACAATAATAAATATGATCTAATTTCTAATGGAGTTTGTAAACAGAAGTTTGGAAAAGGTCAAATTTTAGGCTCTCTCACTTCTGTTCTAAATATATTACTACTTGAGTGCCATTTACAAGCATCTTTTCATGAAATCAGCTTTTACTCTTACCAGAGACAAACTTTACTTTCCTATTCTCTATTTGTGACTTGTCATCCTCTGCTATTCCTACTAGTAGCAGCAGCATTTGTTGCCTGTCTTTTGTGGGTCTTACAGTCCTTACCAACCTTGCAGTCAGGCTGTCATTTCCTCAGCCAGGCAAGTTATGCCAAATTTTAATATACTGTCCCATAAGTTCTATAAATATAATTTAACAGAACCTTTGAACCGGTGTTTGTAAATTCCAGGAGTTTTGGAGGCAGTCACATTTTAATATTGCCAACTTCTGTTCTCTTACATATAAATATCTCAGATACCTTCCTGAGGGCTCTTTGTGCTCATCTTATCTCACATACCTCCCTCCACCTCATCTTCACCCTTGCAGTAGGTCCCTGGCTCATTTCTTGTAAGTGAGCAGAGACACATCAGCCTTGGCCTTACACTCAGGTTACCACTTCCTCATCAAGATCAGTTAAGGCAAATTTTAATATGTTATCCCTGTAAAATCCATACTTTTTTCACATTAATTAGTGTTTCACCAAACTACTGAAATATAAAGTCTATGAAAGCATAAAAGCTATGGTATTTAGAGACACTAAAACCTGACAACATACTGTACAGTACAATTATCTTTCTGGATTCTAGGTTCTTGGCTGTCTCTCTTTCTCATTCATCTCTTTTCTCTTTTAAACTGTATAAACTTTTATATCAGCTTTTTTTTTTTGCTTCTGTTAGCTTTGTTGTTGCTTTTCTTGAAGCTTGTTGCTTGCTACTAGTTGCATAACCAGTTAATAAACCTTAGTAAAGCATGCAATTAATCTCATTACAACCTGCTACTGTTTTTAACACTTGCAATGATAGACTTGGATGACCTGGTCACATGCTGTTGCTGGTTTATTTGTGTGCTGCTGATTAAATTGTGTGGTGATACAGTAAAATAAAACTGTACATGACTAAGAGCAAATCTGTTTTTTATTGCAATAGTTTCTTTCCCCTTATTTGGCAGATGAATATCGATACCCTTTTTAATTCTCACATCATTTCTGTGTTTGTGCAGAAGTCTGTCGCGTCATACAATATTGAATAAAATATTGAGTAAATTAAAGAAAGATCACTTTAACTACAATATCAATTCACAGAAATTTCAAAGTGTCTGATGTATTCCAAAAGGAAAAAAAAACCTTTGATGAAAGGAAAGAGGTTCTGTCAAATTCTTAACATTCTTTTAACTTTTTGTTTCTCTATCAGATTTTTTGGATTTGTGGCCCGGAAACAAGGAAGCACAACAGATAATGTCAGCCACCTGTTTGCTGAGATGGACCCAGACCAACCTGCCACAGCTATTGTCAACTTTGTCTCCAAGGTGATGATTGGCTCACAGAAACGATGAGTTCCCATCAGCCGTCATTTTGTTTATTGGGAGGAGCTTTTTTGTTTTGTTTTATTTGTTACTTTTTGTTTTTTGGTTGGTGATGTTTTTCTTGGAAGGACTTAGAGTTGAACCGAGATGGAGACAGAGAAAGTGCATCAAGGGGCAGTGGCAGGAATGGTAATGGTGGGAGATAATCTCTATCTTTGTGCACAAAAGAGCAAAAAAGAGGAAATGATGTCGGTGAGCTTAATTTAAGAGAAGGCAAAAGAAAAAAGCAAAGTTGAATGAAAAAAGGGTTTACTGAAATCTTACGGGCTTTGGATTGATTAACCAAAGAATAGAATGCATTGAAAGTACAGTAAGTGATTTTAATTGATGGTCCATTTCAAACAAAGAACCTTTAATAGCATTTTTTAGAACATGCCTGTTAAAATGGATGTAATTCTATCAGTGTAAAAGTGTTAATTTTAAGTTTCTGAATATAGTTTGCACCCATGTTATCTTACATAATAATACATACCATAATATAGTTTAGTCAAGGAAGTATGCGTGATAGCTTGGTGTAAGGTTCTTCATATACATGTTGCAAACACTTCATTCTAAGTCCCAGAATAAATTATGTAGTGTTTGTTTTACAATGTATATGGGTGCAAATGTTCTTGAGAACAGAAATGTTCTCTCCCAAATACAGGAGATAATATATTTACATCTGTGCACATTGTAGTCCTATAGTTGTTGTTTGTAGGTATTATTTCCCAAAGATAAAAAATATCTAGTTCGATTAGTCAATCCTAGAGCACAATAGATTTCAGCACTTATAGACGGATTGCTTTTGCCTGTGAACTGTGGACACGGGACTCCTGAATGTACTGCATTTAGCTGTTGTCTTGTATTAGGCTTTGCTTTGCTTTTTGTGAGAGGACAGTTCCTGATTGAAAAAAAACACAAATGGCTTATTCTGGTTACACACACTGAGATGCTCCAGCATCTAGAAATACACAAGGAGTTTTTTTTAACACTGGAGAGACCCAGAAATTGACAGCTGGGTGATTGCACTGTTCTGCATGTAAAACTAAAACTGTAACCTTGCTGCCAATTTTTTGAGCTAAGTGTAAGTTTCCCAGTTTTAAATTATCCTAAAAACAATTGTCCTGTTCTAACCTTATATATATATACTGACTGAGGACATTGTTTATGCAGTTATGAATGTTAATGAATGTAGCAGTCAAAAGAGGGGGAAAATATGTGTAATATTGTTTATAATAATGCATGAATGCAAGCATCGTTTCTTTCTGGTTTCATTTTAGACATATTATTCAAAACCAATTTCAAATATTAAAATGATGAAAAGGTGTAGTCCTCTTAAAATAGTTGAGTGCTAATGTCTCCAATAATACTCCCAGCAGAGCTCCTTTACAAATTCAGATTACTGCTATATTTCAATGTATCTACTTCTCAGACTGAAGGCTGATTTTTGCAGAACAAGCCATTTTATAGCCAAGGATTACTGTCCTCTCAGCCACAATCAGATTTATAGCTACGACATCTATAGAGAGAAAATTTCCTATCACTGCTCAACAGATCGCTTTACTTTAAATATATATACAGTATATATACAGTATATATACACACACCATACCGAAAAGTAAGCTAATCAAAATATATATAAAATACAAAAAGTTACTTTACTAAAATATTTATTTTTTTGCTATGTCGCTCTATGTTAACTCATATATAAAATTCTTGTATAGTCTACGTAAAGATTACGTAAAGCATTTAAAATACTTTTTATTTTGGCTAAGATGTCAAAATCGACAGATTTTGAACAACATTTAAGAAATATATAAGATGTAAAGTGTATGTATGTTAAAGCTTGTCACTATATGTTTTGAATATTTTTTCACTGCATCATTTTTCTTGCCTTGTGTTTTCTTAGTTGGATCCAAATAGGCATGTAAGGGGTTAAAGAAATAAAATATTTGAAAAAGTTATTGTTTCCTTAAGTATGTGGAAAACGGCATTTAATGTGACTCCCAAACAAATTAAAAACTTTCAGGCCAACAACAGTGCCAAAACACATTTTTTTTGTCTTTTTCGTGTTTGTATACTGTATATAAGTTTGAAGATATATACAGTACCTTGCTAATGTATTCAGACCCCACCTTTATTGTCCCATTTTGTGAAATTGCAAATTGATGCTTACACACTTGTTTAAACTATTTTACTCAAAACTTGAATACTTAAAATGAAGACTTCTATGGTTAAAAATTAAATTCAGCAAAAACTAAAGCAAAGAAATGGAAATATGTTGATTGCATAAGTATTCAGACCTGTGAATTCAGTATCTAACGGAAGTAACTTTGGCTGAAAGACTTTTTAGCTCATCTTTGCACACTAGCTTGATGCAATTTTTGCCCATTCCTTTTGGCTTATTTGTTCAAGCTCTCTCAAGTTAAGTCCATTGCTTACGGACAGGAGTTTTTAACAGATTCTCCGAAGTACTCAAGTCCGGACTTTGATTGGGCAACTTAAAGTCATTCATTGTCAGTTTGGCCTTGTGCTTTGTGTAACAGACCTGTTGAAAGGTTAATTTTCTTTCAAATTTTAAGTAATCCATTTTTCACTCAGTCATAAAAGATTTTCCAGTGCCTGCTGAGGAGAAGACTATAGAATAATAATAATTAATAATAATTGCTTACACTCAAAGCACTTTACAGGTAATGGGGACTCCCCTCCACCACCACCAATGTGCAGCATCCACCTGGATGATGCGACAGCAGCCATAGTGCGCCAGAACGCTCACCACACATCAGCTATCAGTGGGGAGGAGAGCAGAGTAATGTAGCCAATTCATAGAGGGGGATTATTAGGAGGCTATGATTGGTAAGGGCCAATTGGAAATTTGGCCAGGACACCGGGGTTACACCCCTACTCTTTTCAAGAAGCGCCCTGGGATTTTTAATGACCACAGAGAGTCAGGACCTCGGTTTTACGTCTCATCCGAAGGACGGCGCCTGTTTACAGTATAGTGTCCCCATCACTATACTGGGGCATTAGGACCCACATGGACCGCAGGGTGAGCGCCCCCTGCTGGCCCCACTAACACCTCTTCCAGAATGATGCTGCCATCAGCATGCTTGAATGTAGGGACCTGGTGTAGACCAGGTGAAGACCTGGAGATACACTGTGTTGGTTCTGCACCAAATGCAATACTTGGCATTTAAATCACAAAGTTCCAATTTGCTTTCATTTGACCACAATACCCTTTACCACATTTTTGCAGGGTCACTCAGGTCATTTGGTACAAGCTCTATATGAGCTCTAAGAATGCAGATTTTTAGTAATGACTTCCTTCTTGCCTCCCTGCCATCAATGTCTGCCTTACACACATACAGTAGGTTTATTTATTCTGAATCCATGTGAACTACTATTATTTTACACAGTGACCAGCCAATTAATCGAATGGCCCAGGCTAAATGAGGAAGAGAAGAAAAGAAACACAACATTTCCACAGCCGAAACATTGTGTTTCTTTACTTCTCTTTTCAGCATGGAATAAACCTTTACTTGTCCCTTTGCAGCCCACGCATGCTGAGTTTATACAATCATGACATTTCCATTTTTCCTTCATATTATTACTTTGCTTCTTTTATTTATTTATTTTGCTTTGTACATAACTATTAATTGCTTCATGCTGAAAAGAAGAAGAAAACACAATGTTTCGGCTGTGGAGCCTTCTTCAGGTGTCAACCTGGAGTTGAGGTTCAGGTGACACCTGAAGAAGGCTCCACGGCTGAAACGTTGTTTTCTTTCTTCTTTTTTTTCAGCATGGAATAAACCTATTACTTGTTCCTTTGCAGCCTGCGCATGCTGATGCAGCTACCCACCTGAACTATTAATTGCTTCTACAAAGTGTCATGACTGCAAGCTTAAAAGCAACAAAATGTGAAAGGTGCGCAAGAGTCTGAATACCTTTAATGCATCTATAAATGTACTGTAAATTGAATTTGGTATTGATATAAAATTAAAATCCAACTTTTTCATTAGATAAGACATAATCTCACTTCTGTTTACTCATGGACAAAGATTAAAAAATTATTCAACTAAAAACATTCCTACAGGCCGATCGTGTTTGGATATCTCAAACACTAAACATTGCTAATAAATGTTAATTTGATGTAAAAATTATTCTTTTAAAAAATATATCGATTTATTTGTCTTCAAAATTAAAAAAAAACAAAAGTTAAATTTATTGTAATTGAAAGCTAAGTAAAATCAAACTGGTAATAGATCTTTAAAAATATACAGTGGGAGCTATATGCCAATAGAATCATACAGATAATAAAAAACATCAGAGAAATCCAGCATACATAAACTTTTATTGGGTTCAATCTAACTTAATTGTTGTACAGCACTTGTTTGTATCATGCTGAGAAAAAATGATTAAATATGGGTTACATAAACAGGTGTATAATTGTGTGTGAAAGATGCCTGTTTCTGACAGCAGATGAATACAGTCTATTGCAAATTGGATGTTTATAGTATCAGTCTGTACATACATTGTATACACAGACTGTATACAGTACTGTGTATACACTGTATACAGTACTTTTATTAAAAAAAACACAAAAGCCAAGCTCTGTCTGAGCTCTAGCTGAGTCTTTTCATATTCCCTACCTAGTATTAGAGTTGGGCATAAAGATGCTTACCTTCTAAAACTCTAAAACTCTTTACCAATAAAATTTTTAGAAAACTCACAATATAATGTCTACGTGCTTTTCTATTGGTATTTGTTTTCTTTCTTATCACTCTGGTGCAAACGCATAAAATTGAGCCAGCAGTTCGACACCCTGTTATAAATCCCAGCTTCCTGGTTTTACCTGTGACCAGAACAATTGTCTTCAACCACATTGGCTTGTGAGGAATGTAGTTGAGTTGTTTAAAGTCGTACTTATTTACAGTAATTACGAAAAAAATGGCAGAAAATACTTCAGTTTGCTATAAAACACAATAACATGGCACATTCTCACATAAGGTGGTATTGTATGCCTTCGTATTAATATGAAGTGTTTGAAAGGAAATCTAAATATAGAAAAACAAGTTAATAGAATAAAGTTATTCGGTAATTCAAATGTACAGTACTTCACTATCAACCTTTTTGTCCCTTAAGAAAGATGGATTGTCGAAATAACATGCAGCAATTTCAGGTTATGTCAGATTGGTGCCTGAGGGTTTGTAAAAGGCATCAGAGATTTCTAAGTTTACATTGTGAATGTCACTAAGGTAAATTCATATAAGCCAGAGCTTACTGACCAATGGAATTTAGAGGATGCAGATCATCATTTATCATTTGGGAAACCTAAAAGCACCAGTTTGCATAAGGAAACTCATGGCTTCATATTGTATATGTGTCTGAACCTTTTAAATATTAAGAAGTTCACCATATGGATTTCTTTATAATAAAACTGTAAATAAATTCATTTTGTACTTATAATACATAAGAAAACATTATAAGGCAAAATCACACAGCACTATTATCCCTCTATCTGCATTTCTTTATATAGATTCTCTTTGAACTCAGAATGTCAATCAGTTAGCATCAACAATGCAAACCCCAGGGAAAACGGAAAAAATTAGAAGTCTTGGCTTGGCTAATGCAATTGCATTTCAGGCATGCTCCATTATGTGGTCTGGATTATTACTGCTATTTTCAATATTGTCTAAGCCCATGTATCTCTAAAGAACATTAAGATATGCAATCTATTTTTATTGCATTTGGTATGATAGACAGAAACTATTGGACATTTCACATTTATATGAGTAAAATTAGTAAGAACAACTGCCATGAATTTCGCAATGGGATGGAACTGAAGCTTTAATATTCAAACAGAAACCATACAAATTTTTGTACATATTGTATATGGATCTGTATGAAACATGGTACCAGGTCAAACAATGGCAAATATTTTTGGCAAAGAAAGGATAATATAATATACCAGGTTTTCAGTCCGGTAGTTTTTTTTTTTTACTATTTTACTTAATAACTGAAATAATAAAAAAAAATAATACAGATTATTTCTATTGATTTATTAAAAAGTAATTTAGTTCTCCATGTTTTAAAATTGATATTGAAAGTGTAAAATAGCTTAAAATATATTACTCTTATTTGTTCCTTGTAAAAATGTACTTATTTTGGCTTTTTTGCTTGGAGACTTGAAAAGGTCTTAATTTTGAAATAAATGAGATACAGCCCCATTAAGAGCCTTAAAATTCTTAAAACTTCTTTAAGAAGACGTGATAACAGTGATATTAAGCTACAGTTTCTTAGCCCCAGTGAGAACAATATCACTATCATATGAAAAGGTTTCTGATTGCAAATGGTTTTCCCAGCATTACTGGACCCAATATATTGAAAGATACGTTTAAGGTTGTAAGATGGAAAAATATTGTATTCTGTGAGATTTCCAACATCACAGTGGCTGCATTAGAAATTAAATTGTAATGACCAATGTTCTTTCATGTTGCTATAGAGCTACTAAATTAGACTTACTTTTATCTGTACTGTTATTGTTAGCATGAATTTTAGAGTTCAGAATATTATATCATTAATATGTGCCACTTTTTCATGACTGCAGACAAGGTTTAGCTTCCATTAAAAAAATCTCTGACAACATTACAAATCATGTGCCTGTTTCATACATTATTACACATAATGCTACTGCTTTTTGTCCCAAAAATTGAGGTTAACATAACAGTGACACAAGAAATATAAACATTTACTTAAGAACAGTAATTTATTTCAATGTATTTGTTCCTCACAATTCTAACATTTTGCAATGTCTACTTTTAATTTGACAGCTACTTATGCAATCAAATGTAATTGGTAATCTGTGTGATGCCATCAACAATTTAAAAATCCTTTATAAGAATAGAAAGAACAAAATAGAGACAACCCCTGTTTACAGTATATATTTATATTAGAAGATAGTGTA